GGTTACGTGCTTTACATTCTTCTTTTCGTATTTGGTCAAATTAGTGGATGGTTACGGCGAAGACATCTCAGAGGCACTGAAATGGCCACTGGTATTGTATGATTGAGTAGACGCGAATGGTATTTGAGGGCGACACAATCTTACATGATAGAACAGTTGCCGTAAAGTTATTAAAAATAATCATTACAGAGGTTCATGCGGCAGATTTTCCGTTGAAGCCGCTTAACAACTGAAGAAATCCTTCTTGGATCGATCACAATGCTACGACATGAGATGGTTTCTAACGAATCCAGCACATACCTGGAATATTGTGTCAGTGTGACGCTTTAGTTTTCAATGCGAGTTTTCACAACTTTGCCAATAGAACAATACATTCTGTCATACCTCGCCACTGATGCCGGAATGCCGTCTGTTTCGTTGTTTAATTTTTAATCTTCATTCGTCATGAAAGACAGGTTTTTTGTTGGAGGCCATTCATGCAACGGATTGAGGGATCCTTAAACTTATCTGAAGACCTCAAATGTTTTCCTAGTCTAGCGTGTAAAACCGTTTAAGCAGTAATGAATATGGTCATATAGCGATTAGCGATTATGTTAGCTTTCGACGCGAGATTTGTTTGATAGTAAACGTTGGTTTTTTAACGTACTATCATTGAAGAGATTAGGTAGTAATTTTGTCGTTTCAGCTAAAATGGTACCGATTCGATAAAATATCATGCCGTCGTTGTAAAGCGACACTGTGACGGAATGGAAAATATCTACCAGTGCCTTAAATTCACGTTTTATTATCAGAAGCGATAGTAGGAAGTCAAGTTTTTTTGTGGCGAGGAGGGGGAGAGAAATCTGAAGCTTTCTTTGATGTTCTTGTATGTAACATGAAGTGTCCTAATATCGGTGATGGTCAATCATCACCAGAAGAGAAGAACTCACTGACTCTGTCTACTTGAGAGAGGACTAGTCGGACTCTGCTGTCTAAAAAGTGTCTAAGCGGTGTCAACCACTTACCGAACAAACCTTCATGTTGCTGACCATAGGAAATTATCAACTGTGGGCTGCATTCAAGGAGAGCACGGTATTGGCAGCAATTCTTTTGGTTGCGAGACATGAGGATTAGCGAAAAACGTTGTCGAATTGTTGAAAATGCGTCTGCGCGCTCTTAAAGGACGGATGCTAGAAATTTTCCTAGCGACCGAAGCTGCGGAAGTAACACATAAGAATAAGCACTGGAAATTTTTTTTTTAAATTTACGCTTATTTCATGTGCTGATATTTAGCCAGGTATTACATGGATCAAA